TCTCTCTCTCTCTCTCTCTCTCTCTCATGTGCCAGGTACTAACCTCTGAAGATGGCGCCGTGCTGCAGGTACCTTGAAGGCGAAGCTGGAGCTATGGCGCTGCAGGTAAGTCTCCCTGGCCTCCACCAACTCTCTCTCTCTCTCTCCAGTGCTACTGTAGCTCCTACTAGCGGCCAGCGCTGAAGGCTACTGCTAACGCTACTACTACTACTGCAGCGCTCCTCCAGAGTGCTGCTGCCGAATCCTGAAGACTACCTCCTGCCTCCTGAACTGCACGTGAAGTGCCTGGGAAGTCCCCTATGAACTACCTGCAGCCTGCAGGGCGGGCCAGTCTTATATAGTGCTGGCCCGTCCAGGAGGCTGCTCTTGCCAATGCCAAAACGTGCCAGACCCTGGCGTTGAAGTTCAAACAAAGGTAGTCTTGAAAACAGGCCCAAAATGGCCTGTGCTAAAACCCTGGTCTGGTGCCTAAGTTTCAGGGCAGGTCGATCTTATGAGGGCCTGAAAATGGCCCTCCGTTTCAGGCTGAAAAGACTCAGGGCCTAGAGGGCCCTGTTTTAGGCTGAAACGACACAGGGCCTGTAGGCCCTTGTTTTCAGGCTTTCAGGCTGAAACGACCCAGGGCCTGAAAATGGCCCTCGTTTGCAGGCGCAGCATGTAACAATGACCCTGAAAGTGGGTTATGGGAACGATGGCTTCTTCCTCAGTATTACGGACTGACGGTCAACGGTGGAAGTGGGTTATGGGAACGATGGGTTAGTCTGGGGAAAGAGAAGGTGGTAATCCCCCTGAGGATGACCACGTGCCGGCCCGTCGAAACCGGCCGGGGTAGCCATTACCCACCGGGACATGCAAAATGCAACGTACTTTTGTAGTGAGAATTTTGTGACATGTGTGGATTGCAAGTGTGTGACTTAAGTCTGTGCTTGTCTACTCATTGCGTTCACTTAATCTCTCACACTCGTCAGAACATCTGCTTCTCTGCTTGAATTAGACAGGGTTTCTTTTTTTTTTGTTAATTTCCCCCCAAAAAGTAATGACCATAGACATCTGTCCATTTCATGACGCCATGTGCAGCCTGACACCTGTGCTGCATTCCTCTCTTTTATTTGAAAACAAAATGTGATAACCCTCGACTCTACTGTTTGTTAAGCCACCAGTACTTCCTAAAGTCGTGCCCGTTAATAAGCCACGATTGTAGGAAATGTACGGGTCACTACAGAAGCGACCAAATTCATCCAACTAGAAATGTTTCTACTTTATTTTTTTTCCCGGCCGAAAGCTGGGCCAAGTACTGGTGGTTTAAAGTCAAAGTTCTGACTTCAAAACCCCATTTTGTAATGGAGCATCATTTGCGATTTTGCAAGGAAGGATTCTAACGACCAGAGAAGGGTGCTGAGCTGAATACATACTACATATGATGATGATTGGTGGTTGCAGTGATCCAGGAGGAAATATGTTGTGCTTTCTACAAGGGATGCTGACTCAGTTTTTCAGCGTCGCATCGTTCCTGTGGACAACCACAATTATGTACACCCTACACAGAACGGTATGTATAACGAGCAATTTCCAGTTTCGAATTCCATTTTGCTTTTTCCAAAGAGACGCGCTTAACCGTGCTGTGCAGCTTGCTTTAATTGAAGACCCTTAAAGCACCAGCAAACCCTGGTCTTGGGGCGCTCCACTGCACGGCTCTGCCAGCAGCGCACTATTTTTTGTCTCTTTTGCTGGCGCTGGCCGGCCATTGTGGTACCGGTTGGTAGGCCCGAGGTGGGAGTTTTTTGCCGTAGGGGACCGAGCATTTTATGGCAAGCCAGTACTTGTCGCTGTTTGCTGTGTCTGGCGGAATGTACCTGCCTGCCATTTCACACAAAAAACAACATCCGAGCACTGCTCACTTGCTGTGTCTGGCGGAATGTATCTGCCTGCCTGCCATTTCAGACAAGAAAACATCCAGGCAAACGAGGCTGTGTACGTGACCTTTTTTATCCCCGATTCGACAAACGAGGCAAGATACAATTTGCAATTGCACTTCTGTCACCCTACCTGGGCAGAAAGCTGGATTGTATACATTGCCCGAACTGCAATTGGAAACTGTATCTTGGCCCATAGTGCAATTATAACTCATTTTTGTGACTCCCGCGTAATTTCCCCTTCTTTTTTTCTTTACTTTTCTTTGACTGTGATGTACGTGGTTTCCATGACTTGCTAACAACCACACCCACTTCCCCATGTACTATACATGGTACTATATATGTACTATAGCGGGTACTAGTAGTACATATATTTATTATTATTATTTTTTATTTTTTTATTTTTTTGGACCCCTAGTACATATATAGTACATATATGGTGGCACCTACTAGTCATATACAGATAGAGCTGATTTATTACATAATGAAAGTGTCAGCATGTCACCATATATCGTCAAATATAGCTAAGTGGGTATGAAAGGATTGCGTTTGTTATTAAAAAAAGAAAAGGAAAAAAAAAGTGGGTGCGGTTACTAGCAAGTCATGGAGATCACGTACATCAAAATGATGTGCCATGCTTCTCATAGCTGTTTTGTCCCAACCTTGAATTAATAACCATGACACATCATCGTGAAATAGCTCATCCAGGGCAGTTTAAGGGCCCAGAGCTCAAACACCCCACCATTTAATCAGAGTGTAGTACTGTGTACATATGTGTGTGCCCTTCCTCTGTGTGTGTGTGTGTGGGGGGGGGCGCGGGGGTTGGCCGGGAAGGGGGGAAGGGAGTGGGAGTGGGTGGGCCGTTTGCTGTGCTGAGAAATGTGTGATCCTATATAAACTATTATAAAGTTATAAACCTACTAGTTTATCGAGGACAACTAAATTGGATTGAGTGAAGTGGTGGGCATTATCAAACGATGATTACTGGAGGAAAGCCATATGAGGCGACACTATCATGTGGGGGGGGGGCTTAGACAGCAGGAAAATAAAGTTAAAGCCTGATCTCTATGTATGATAAGTATTGGAGTTCTTGGATTTGTGTGTGGGGGGGGGTGTGGATGGGTGTGGGTGTGTGCACACACGGGGATTGCTGAGTGCTTCATGAATAATGTATAATGGGGACATCTTCATATCTGCCAATTTCTGGTTTAAATTTTCATTTCATCTGTATACAGGTAGTAAGACACAAAGCTGATGTAGAGGAATTGGAGCCAACATATCACTTGTATGTCTGGGGTGCGTGGCAGATGCTCCTTCACTCCCACTGTCCTTCTCCTCTCCCTTTCTGCTCTCTTGCTTTCTCCTCTCTCCCTCTCTCTCCTCTTTCTTTCTCTCATCCTTCCTCTCCCCCCCTCTCTCTCTCTTCATCCCTCTCTCTCTTCCTCTCTTCCTTCCCCTGCATCTCTTCCTCTTTTCCTCCCTCCCTCTCCTTCTGTCACTCTGTCACTGCCCCTCTGTCCCTCTCCCTCCCACCGCCTTCATTCCTCCTCTCTCACTCCTCTCACCTCTCGCTCTCTTCTTTGTCTCTATCTCGTTGCTCTCTACTTTCTCCCTC